ATATATATATATATATATATATATATATATATATATATATGTGTGTGTGTATGTGTGTGTGTGTGTGTGTGTGTGTGTGTGTGTGCACCTATATATTGTTTCTCAATTATTTTTATCTAATTGGCAAAGTAGGTCAATCTTCTCTCTCGATAATTATGTGAAGATGGATCTATTAGAAGCTCTCTCGCTCTCTCTCCCTATACTCGAAAGTCCTTTTAAAATATTATTTCAAAATAAAAATTTATTTTCATAATTAAATTAATTTCATGTGCAACGCACGTGCATATCACTAGTTATGGTTTATGGTAGGGGTTTAGGGAGTAGGGTGCACTTGGGTGTACCATGGTAGTATAGTCTCTAGTGTGGTTTAAGCCAAAAAAAAAGGCATTTGGATGGGAAAAAATTAGGGTTTTGTCTTGAATGGGTTTAGGAAATCTCCTAGCTAGGTTCCTATTGTTTTTATGATATTTGGTTTCTGTAGTGTCTTCAGCTGGAAAAATTTGGGTGCCTACTTGAGGTTGCAACCTTAACTATAGAAGTTTGTAGTAATCTGCACTATCTATTTTATTTTAATGGTAGAGATTTGGCACCATCTTAAAAGACGTGTCGCTTTTTGATATTATCTTAAGAGAAGTATCAAATCTATATTGTCTAACTAAAATAGATGGTATATAACTCCGCAACCTTATAAATAGATTGAGTTTTATGTTGGAATAATTGGTTCCTCAAAATCAGGATTTCTCTCTATCACCTGCTCTCATATTTGAGTTTTGAAGGTGTGATATATATAATTTAAAGGGAAACAATGAGTTATGATAATAATAAGCAATCTCCTTTCTCGTGGATGTAGGCAAATACGCTGAACCACGTCATTCTTTTCTTGTTCTTATCTTTTTTAACATGGTAATAAAGCGCTTTTAGAGCGATGCCGGTTAACGGCCTGCTACCTCATTAATACGTGGCCTAATAAATTTTTACAAGAAAAAACTCTTATTGAAGTGCTAACAAAATAGAAGAGCTCGTCATCTCACTCGAAGGTGTTGGGTGTGTTTGTTATATGCACAATCCTGGATTTGACATGCTTAGCCTTAGGGCACAAAAATGTATGTTCGTTGGCTATTTTCCCACAAAAAAATCTTATAAATGATACGATAATACGGAGAAACGTGTAATTATTTCTCGTAATGTTATTTTTCAAGAAAATGAACTTTATTTTCCACACACCCAAAATGATGAGGGAAATAAGCTTCAGGGGAAGAATTGTATTATGCATCTTGTCACTAGTGAAGATTATGTTAAAAGCGATACTAATCATGAAGGAACCAATCATGGAAGATACACTAAAAAAGAAAAACAACCTCAAGCCACCGACCCTTATCCAACTACTTCTCAAGTGGCTTCTCCCATAGTGCCCATTATTGACTCTAATCGCCCTCGTTGCACCATTCGACCTCCAAGTAAGTTTCAAGATTTTTAAACTTACCAAGTCTCTTCAAAATATCACATTCAAAAGGCTTTAGATTATTCTAGAATCTCCAAAAAACATCATTGTTACCTAAGCTCTATTTCTGCCAATCAGGATCCTATTAGATTGCAGGAGGTATTTTCTCACATGTGTGGAAAAAGGCAATGAAAGAAGAGCTTATCGCTCTTGATAAAAATCACACGTGGGAGCTTGTCAAGTTACCACAAGGAAAAAAGGTTGTTGGAAATAAATAGATATATAAAATAAAGTTCAATAATAATGGTACAATTGAGAGATACAAGGCAAGGGTGATTGCTGAGGGGTTTACTCAAACGTATGGAGAGGATTACATGGAAACATTTGTTTCTGTTGTTAAAATGAATACTATTAGAGTTTTGCTCTCCATGGCAACCAACCTTGATTGGCTATTGTACCAACTTGATGTTAAAAATGCATTTCTTCAAAGGGATCTTGAAAATTCCCCAAGGTCATCCAAAGTTTACATGAAAATTCCCCAAGGTTATCCAAAAAAACACTCAAAGATGGTTTGTAATCTAAGAAAAGCTATCTACGGCTTGAAGCAATCGCCAAGAGCTTGATATACTAAATTGAGCTCTGCACTTATTTCTCAATGTTTCTCTAGGAGCATTGTTGACTCCTCTATGTTTGTAAAAGCTGGAAAACAAGGTACAGTTGTTATTCTTGTTTATGTGGATGACATCATAATCACTGGAAGTGATGTTCAAGGAATTTCTCTCATCAAGAAATATCTTGATCATGTCTTTGATCTCAAGGATCTAGGGAAATTAAAGTGTTTTTTGGGTATTGAAGTTGCATACTAAAAAAAAAGCATGTTCATGTTTCAAAGAAAATATACTTTGGATTTACTAAAGGAAACTGGTAAATTAGGCACTCGTCCAATTGAAACATCAATTGAAATGAATTATAAATTAACTCTTGATGATGGAGAACCAATCAAAGATATTTTAAGATATCAACGACTTGTGGGAAAATTAATTTATCTAACTATCACTTGACTAGACATCATTGATATTGTAAGTTTAGTCAGTCAATTCATGCATGCACCTCGCACCACACACATGGAAGCTGTCAATAGGATATTAAAGTATCTTAAAAGTTCTCCATGAAATGGAATTTTAATGAAGAAAAATTATCATACTATTATTATGAGATATTGTGATCCTGGAGATCCTTCTAATAGGAAATCCACTACGGGATTCTGTACTTTTGTTCGAGGAAATTTAGTCACTTGAAAAAGTAAAAAACAAAGCGTTGTAGCTAGATCTAGTGCTGAAGTTGAATACCGGGCTATGACTTCTGCAGCGTGTGACTTCATCTGGCTCAAGGCTCTTCTTCTGATAGTATCAAACCCCGTGTTCCATGAACGAACTAAGCATATTGAGGTTGACTGTTATTTCATCAGAGAAAGGTTTCAAGACAAGATCATTCAAACTCCTTACATCAACAGTGGAAATCAACTTGCATATATTTTTACAAAAGCCCTCGGGAATGAGAAATTTAAAGAAATTCTAGCCATCAGGAATGAGAAATTTAAAGAAATTCTAAATAAGTTAGGTACTTTCAATATTTTTGCATCAACTTAAAGGGAATTGTTGGAATAATTGGTTGTAACCGTGTTCCCAAGTTGTATATATCGATTACCTCAAAATCTAGGATTTCTCTGTATCACCTCTATCACCTTCTCTTTTATCTCTGTTTTGATGGTCCTCTATCACCTTCTCTTTTATCTCTGTTTTAAAGGTGTAATATATATAATGTAAAGGAAACAAGGAGTTATGATAATAATAAGCAATCTTCCTTGTCGATGTAGAAAAATACACCGAACCACATCATTTTTTTCTTATTCTTATCTTTTTCAACGATAAGGTTGCAACTTTACTTATAAAACTAAGGTTGTGATGTTCTATACTATCCATTTTTGCTAGACTATATAGATTTGATACGTCTTTTTAATATAATATAAAAAAATAACATGTCTTTTAAGGTTTGTATAAGGCTTAGGATTTATGAAAACAAAATAAAGCATCATTTCAAATCCTCGTCTAGAAATTACTTTTGACATTTGATGATCTAAAATCAATTTCCAATACCACGAATAAAATTTGAAATTCAAAAGATGGTACAGATCGTTGAACACTTATTTCTAGGGAAAAATGGATCGTTCAGATAATTTATTGCAATATACACTAGTTTTACAGCTTGAAATCCTAATTTTTTTTTCACAATAATAATGTTGAATCCAAGATGATCGATTCAAAGATTTATCGACTTAAATTTTAATTTACAATGACTTATGAGGTGAGGCTTTACTTATTTTGATAGAGCTGCAGCCCCATCAAACAATTTTCCAAGAAGTCGATGAAACCCCTCTTTAATATGACACAGTTAATATTTGATGCATCATAACTGTTATCGTGAAAAAATTAAATAAGAATGCATCGTGAACAAGAAGAATTCTCAATAGCAAAAGTACAAAGCCCTTAAACTTGTGGCCTTGATTGTTTTTAATATTTTAAAAGCATCCAACAGTAAGCTACCAAAGCAAAAACAACAGTGAAATGTAAAACATAGAATAAAAGCTACAATATCCAAAGTACTTTGGGAATCTTCATAAATAGAGATCACAAAACTTGATCTCCCTCATTTCTATTCAAACATTTCTGCAATTTAACCACCTTCAATTGTGATTCACCATGGTACTTGGACCTGTAATAAAAAATAATTCAGGGGCCACATGCATTTAAAAAATTAAAAGGCTCACTAATTAAAGAGAAATAAACAAAGAAAAGAGAAATAAACAAAGAAAAAAAGTCCAGATTGTGAAAAACTGAAACTCGAAAAACGAAAGAAAAAAAAAAAAGTACCCAATTTCAGGTCCAATTCATGATCCATCATTGCATGAGATGAGTTTAAACGGAGGCCATGCGTGAAACATGGCGATGAGGGGCGTCCATTACGTGGAATTTGGCTGATCTTTAGACAATGAAAAAATTAGAATTATTAATCCACAAGTTTCAACAAAAAAAATATCTTCAAAATAATGTAAAACAATCCCGTTCTATGAAATCGTGATCGAAGTTTCTCCCAACTATATGAGTCGGCTACACGAATCTTGTTGAGCCATCAAGATTCATGACCAGCACTCGTCATCCGTGATTATAAAATATAAACTAAAATTACCTTCTCTTGAAGCTTCTCTCTTTCTTCCTGATGGACTATCTCCTGCACAATAGTACCATTCACAAGATGTGAAGCCAAAATGAAAAAAAACTGAAAAAACCAGAAATGAAAACACTCAAAAAACCAGTCAAAAAAAGTGAAAGAGAAATTTAAATGTATACCATGTTAGCAAGGTGGTCTATTTCCTCCTGAATGATTCTGTCCTGTTAAGAAGAAATCAAATAGGAAACAGAAAACAAATGAATAAATCAGTGTAAAAGAATTCGAAGAAATCTAATAAGAAACAGAAATGAAAAAAGGATATTAATGTTTCTTACTCTCTCTCCTCGGACCCTTGAGATGGCTTTCTCAAGATTTTGTTCAAGATAGTTCAACACAGGTAAGGAATAGGCGATTCCCTCCTCACCCCTGAGGAATCTAGAGAGAGAGAAAACATGAGACAGAGAACAAAAGAGAAGAAGATAAATGAATCAGAAGAAAAGAAGGGAGAGAAGAACGGGACCTCAATTCCTTCTGTAACTGGTCACTGACTTTCTTGGCCTTCTTAATCTCTGATCTTATCTCCTAGCAGGGGAGAGTCAAGCACCAAATACAGTGTGAAAAAACAGGGGAAAAGGAATGCATAAAACAGTAGAACTCGACGCGAAAAACCCAGAAATTACCATGTATTCTTTCTCCCAGAACTTGCTCTGAGTGGCCCTCTCATACTTCTCCATGAACTTCTTCACCCTGCAACACAAGAAATCAGATGCCCTAAATACAGCAAAAAAAATCAGAGAGAGAGAAGAAATAGCAAAGAATCAAACTCGAGAGAGATAAGAAGTGTGGAGGAAGGAGATGTAAAACCAAGAAGAGAACCACACCATGAAAATAACTCGAGAATGAAGAGAAATAAACAAAATCAAGATCAGAAACAAACCTATGCGAAGAATCAGAACAACAAAACTATGGAGTTAAATATGGAATATGGGGAAATAAGAGTAGAAACAGAAGACAAAATGCAAGAATGATATAACCAATATACAGAGGGAGAACAAGAGAACTGGGTCAACAGAAAGAAGAATCGAAACGATCAGAAACTTAAAGAACCGAGCTCTAGAAAAAGAAAACTGAGAGAATCAGAGAGACCAACTAAACTCTATAGAGAGAAAGAAGACTAAAAACATTGATAGAAGAAGAACCGTTACCAAGTCAGAGTATCAAGCTAACCGAGCTGTACTAATTGGAGGAGAGAGAATAACTGAAACTAGAGAGAGAATCAAACTACAAAGCACCAGAGAATGAACAGAGAAAGCAGCATTATTCAAGATTATCATAAAGCAAATGCTATGAATCAATAAAAAATAACCAAAAAAAACCAGAGAGAAAGCCAACCAACAAAATCAACAGCAAACCACCAAACTCAAGAAAACGCAAATAACAAGCCCAAGAGAGCAAAGATAGAGAGAGAAAGTGTAGAGAGAGAGCACGGACCCAAATGAACAGGGGCTCGAGAGCTCGTAAAGCTTTCCAGCAGAAGAGAAGACGATAAGCAAGACCTGGGCATCGCACAAAACCGAAATCTCTCTGGCCTTCTTAAACAAACCCGCCTTCCTCTTTGAGAACGTAACCTGCCTCTGCGCCCCATTCTCAATCCTCCTCAACTCCACTTTCCCTCTCCCCATAACAACCCACAAATCAAAATCAAGAAAGAGAGGCTTTTGTTATTATTACTATAAGAAACCATTCATCAACTCCATTTCTCTCTCCTGTTCCTTGTTTCTCTTTCTATTTCTTCAGAGTTCAAGACCACCATTATTTTCCCTTTCTTCTTCAATTTAAAGCAAAGGCAAAGCTTTGTGTAAAAAGAGGCACTCTCTCGGTTCCTCCTCAAAACCGCAAAACTTTCCTCTTATGGAAACTGTCTCAGGCAGAGGCCCTTCCCTGAAAACTTTCCATATTTGTGGGAGTGGAGACCACCCCCTGACACAGTACAAGCGGCCCGTTGGGCGTTGGCCCAACATTGTAGTGACTTTCGGCCACTACTCGAAATTTCGCTTAGAAGGCTTTTCATAATTGTAAAAGAGTAGAGAGCTCTGTTATAGGGTATAAGACGAGATAAAGAAGGCATGGGTGGCAATGGACCTAGACCTGACCTGGACCCAAGGGTTGACTTGATTTGGGTTGGGGTATAGTTCAAGTTCAAAAATTGGACTCAGCGGTCAGGTCCGGGCTCAAATCTTAGACCTGAATGTTATTCAGGTCTAGGTTCGGGAATGAGTCCAATAATTTTTTTTTAATTTCAATATATAAAATATATGGATATTTCAATTTTTGGATTTGGACTGACACTATATTTTTGGATATAGTTTTTTTGGGTCTAAGTCCAACCAGACTCGGACCGGACCGGACCCGACCCGATTTGTTGCCACCCCTAAATGTGAACTTGAGTGGGTTCGGCAAATGCAACACATACTTAGTATAGCATCGGTTAGGAGAGGCAAGTTGGTGAAAGTAGAAGGCTAAAAAGAGTAAAAAATAGGCTCAAAATAATGTGTTTGAAATTCATTGATAAAAATGAGTAGGGATTTATGGTCTTATTCATGTTATTTTCCTTGATAGAACAAAATGCCGGGATTTGTGTAGTCAATTCAATAAAACACTTACATTGATAAAAGTAGAAGGCTAAAATATATAAAAAGTAAATCCCAAACGTAATTGATAAAAAATATAAGAATATAGAGCAAAATAACTTAACAGGATTCATATAGCCGAGTGAATTCGTGTAGGCGATTTAAATAGTGGGCAAGGGAGATGTCCTTTTGTGCGTCTCATTTTGGCGAAGTTTTGGCGAAATTTCGACGAAAGCTAGGAAGAGCGCCACGCCGATGCGTTGGTACGAAAAGATCCCGGACCATACGGAGCCTGCGGCATCGGTTTGGAGCCAATGGGTAGTCACCGCTCGAAGCGCATGAGGCGCTCTCTTTACTTTATGCCTATTCCGCTTTGTGTCATCTGCTCCTCTTCACTCTCTACCCATGTGCCTCTCTCCCTATCCACGCACCGACATTGTTTTCTCTTCTCTCCTTTTCCTTTTTCTCCTTCCCTATTAGTAGCATTTCTTAATTCCCAAATTTCTCCTCAATCTTTTCGCCTTTTTCCTTCTTCCTCTTTTGCTTTTTTATGGCATTCCGCAAATTTCTCCAGAACCTTTTCTCCTTTCCCCGTTAGGGCAGACAATGGGATGGGCTGGGCCTGCCACGGTCCTAGCCCGGCCGTGTCCTATAGGGTTGGCTTAGGCCCTATCCGAGGGCTGGCAATAGGTTAGCTACTGCCGGACTTGAACCTTGATCTGGATTTAAATAGTATTTGGGTTTAAAATTTAGACCCATACCCAAATATGTCGGGTCTTGGGTTTGGTTTGATCCATTGCCACCCTACAACTTTTGAGTTGTTTTTTTTTTTGCCCTTGTTTGCCCATCATATAACCTATAGTTACGAGGTTTTTTTTTTATTATCAATAATACTGTAAATGTTACCAATATTACGACAATATAAATACCTAGAGTGCGCCTAAAGCCACACGATTGCCATTATATACCCTATGACCATAGCTTCAAGTCGGGTCTACCGGTCAGGTCCATTGCCACCTCTACCCTACCCTATCCCAATTGTGTTGGGCTAGATAGAAGAAAGCTAAATTTAAAAAAGAAGAAGATGGGGGTTGAACCAAGGCAACCCTAACTTGATCGGCTCGGTGTTAGCCCATCCTCATAATGCATTTTGTAGCCTAAGCCCTAATTTTTTGGGGCGGCACCCAATTTTGTATACCGTCTCTACCTGTTTTGGTCTCTATCAATTTCTATCGAACTACTAGCCGTTTATGTATTTGATTCCATACTTTCATGGCCAATTTGCTTGTCCTCCAAATCTCTCGCTAAGCATTATTTGATGTCTGTGCAAATTTCTTCTCTAAAATAATGCTTTAAAACCTGGATCAGGGATCGCTGATCAGGATTAACAACCAATTTGGGCCCGAGCCAGGCTACCAGCTGCATTCTCTCTTAGCCCCTGCCCTTTTTAAATAATTTTTTTCAAGGTAATTTAATGTTTTTTATATCCCACTATATCCCCACCCAATAAAACACTTTTTTAAAATTTTAATTATTTTTTATATCATTGATTTGGATCTATCCAGACTGATCCGGATTGCCCATCTTGTAATTGGACATGGATATGTGGAGTGGACAATCGGACCCATTGAATCCAAACTTTGAAACACTGCTCTAAAAACATTTGTATCCTTTTAATCCTCTAAATCCCAATTTGTTGCTTTTCCAGTTGTCTCCTGACCATCATAGTTGTCTCCTGACCATCATTGGCGGTCTTGACCAGTGTCCTATGCATTTCCTCATCCTCTACCCATTTGTGAATAACTTCCCGGTTTCTCTCTCTACCAACTTCCCCTTCTCTCTCATCCTATCTATACTTCTTTCCTATTCTCTCTCCACCCACTTGCTCCTCTTTTCTCTGCAGACCCATGATTTAGTCACTCTCTGCAAAAAAATTTATCCGTTCCTCTTTTTTTTAGCAAATTTTCTCTCCTAGCCATTGGCTATTCAGTATTCAATAACTGTTCTCTATACCCATGGTTTTCTCCATGATTTAGGCAATCTCTGCAAAAAATTTCTCCTTTCCTTCTATTTTTTTAGCAAATTTTCTCTCCTACCCATGGGCTATTCAGTATTCAATAACTGTTCTCTATCTACCCATGGTTATCTCTCTCTTAATCTTATTGGCGAATGCTATTTCTCGCTCTAGCCATTCTCTCTCCTCTTTCTTTTTTGGTAAACGCCTTTCTCTCTCTAGTAAACCCCTCCTCTCTCTCTCTCTCCTTCCTTTCCTTTGTTTTTGAACCTGATTCTCTCTCCACCAATTGGCTCTTCCCTCTCTCTCTCTACTCTCAACCTCTCTTTTGTTTGTAATGCCATCCTCTCTCTTTCCTTGTCTTTCAGATTTTTCCCCCATTTCGTAATTGTCACGTATTTTGCTCTGCCCGAAATCACTCTTTCCTTTTTAATCCCACTAAGCCCATTCTCTCTCCTACTTTCTCTCTCTTATTTTCCATTTCCATGTTGATAAGTCCATCCTCTCTCTCCTGTTTCTTTCCCCTTATTCTCCCCTTATTCATGACACCTGTCTCTCTCTCTCTACCCATTTGTTTGTCACCTTACACCCTTCTCTCTCTAACACACCCACCTCTCCTTTTTTCCTTTCCCTTTGTGGCAAAACCCATCCCCTCTCTCTCTCTTCCACTTTCTCTCTCCTGATTTGTAGAGGCCTTTGAAACTTTTGTTCTTTTCCGAATGTAATGTCGATTTCTCGTGTGATTGTAGGACAACACAGGGCTGCTTCGTGTTAGGTGCTATTATAGTGACCCTACTGTAGGGTACCCCTCATTATATGACGGCCGACCATTCCATGGGTCATGTGCAAAGCCCTTGACTGATGTGCTCTCCATTACTAAATATGAGTAACCTCAAGCGGGGGTTCATATCTTTCGATCAATGCAACCCTTATTTTCTCTCTCTTGCTCCTGTTTCCTTTTCAAGTGGACTTCGCTCTTATCCTTTTCCTCACCCTTTTTGAATGTGCATTAAATTATGCTCGGCTTTATTGCAAGTTACCATAATATCACTTCTTCCTATACTTCATCCCTTGTCTTTCTCTCTCTACAGGCACGTCTCCCTAGTTATTTCAAAACCCGTTTCTCTCTCTAACTGGATGACTTTACTGCTTGAAACTAGGTACGATGATTGCTCTTGGGATGGGGAAAGTAGTAAAATGTTGCAAGTAAAAGAGAAATGGTGGAATACTCTCTCTCTCTCTCTCTCTTGGATGGTGGGTGTTTGGGAGACATGTAGAGATACGTTGGAGTTTGCACCAAACTTTTAGTAGAGAGAGAGAGAGGGGCATTGATTTTTGCGCTGCAAAGGTTGAGGGGGACACATGAGTCTTGAAAAGAAGAGGTGAAATAACATAGCAAAGCTACCTTTGTTTTCACGAAACTTTCTCGGACTAAATTGTCACAAAACATGACCTCAATGACCCTTTCTCTAATCCTAGGAAAATGGTTTCAAATTAACTTAAGGATGAAGTTTTTATAAAATTAAATAAGGGTTAGGCTTTATGAAAACAAAATAATTTCTCACCTCAAATCTTTAGAAAACATTTTCGACCATAAAAATCTTCGTGATCGCTCTAAAATCAATTTCTAACGTTGACAATAAAATTTGAAATTGAAAAAATGGTACAGAGCTTGTGGATTTGTGAATGGACCCGATTTTTATGCTGCCAAACCTACATATGTAGAAATTCAAGCCCCTTAATAATTTATTTTTTATATGGATTTTAAGACCTAATTTTAAGGACATGTAATCTCTAACATGGAGATCATAAATATGAGAAAATGAATAAATTTTAAAAATTAAAAATAATAATTCTAGTAAGAAAACATTTGGACAGGTAGTTGCCATTGTTTTTAGATGGAAAACCTATTGTTTTTAGATGGAACACCTACTTGCATCCATCTTTAAAATGGATGCTTTACAATTTCTGGACTGCATATGTAGAAATGCGGTCCAGCTTGCATGAAACAATTTTCCTTTGTGAATATTTATTTTTAGAGCAAAATAGACGGTCTATATGATTTACAACAATATACACCCTTTTAGCCCTTTTTTTTTTACAATTATAATGTCCAAGCCGAGATGATCTATGAGGTTTTCCAATGCTTGAATTACAACTTTTGACGAGTTATGAGGTGAGGCTTTACTTATTTTGATAGGGTTGTAGCCCTATCAAACCATTTTTCAATAAGCAAAGCCTCATCTAAAAAACAACCGAAAATTACAGTTTTTGCGTTGGAAAACCTTCAAATAGATCGTTTCCGCATTGACCATTGTGGTTGTGAAGAAAAAGTATGATTTCAGA